TAAACTGGGTTTAGGCAAATGAATGGGGTGCTTTTCAGGGTAGTATACCAGTGGGCAAGTCTTTGAAGCTGGACCCAACACTGCTTCTGTCATGTTGTGCTTTACATGATTTTTTTAAAGAAAAGCAATAAAAGTACATTTAGATTCACTTCACCAAGCTCAAAACATAACAGTATCCATCCAGAAGACGGTTGAAAAAAAAAATTATTGATACACTTTCTTAGGATTTTTCTGTAAACCACATGTCCAAGGAAGCCAGAGCCGTTCTTTAAATTAAAATGTTGTCCTAGTCAAATACATTCAATATTTAGTTTGTTTGTTCGGGGGGGGCGGGGAGAGAGTAGGTGGCACTTTTGTAACTATGCCAACATCAACAGAAAGTTGCTGAGTGTCAGCATGTGAAAATGCGTGGCCCCAACAGAAAGCTAAGCAGAGCAGGTACTGCTGCCGGGTCAGCCCAGAGCCCAGCCTGCAGCCCAGCCAGGGAAGTTCAGGCTCGCTCCTTCCTCACCAACTCCCCAAAGCCTACAGCTCCTGGCTTACACGTGGCTCTCTGCATCGTCTCCCTCAGGAGTCCTCTCTCAGATTCTCTCTCCTGTCCAGACCCTCTCCCTGCACAGACCCTTAATATCTGTATAAATGACACCAAGTTTCCAAAACTCCAAACTGTAGTGACCATGACCTAGCTGTTCTTTGCAACAACTCCGCTTATCAGAGGCCAGCATTTTTCTGAACTCATTTCTGAAACTGGGGCACACCATCATGAACCGACAGAAGGGAAATAGCCCTTCACTAACCCCTCTCACATGAATATAGGTGTGTAGTTTATATCCAGATTATTAGAAACCATGTTGCTGGTCCTGAAAGGTGGTGAGCTCAGGCCCTTCCGGAAAAAAACAAAAGGACCACATTCTCAAAGTCTCATCAGCAGAAACTTTTTAAATGTGCCTGAAACACAGGAGTTTCTAGGAAAAGTCACACTTTTGCCTTTTATCCCAAAAGGAATCTAACAAGAAAGTGGCGCGAATCATTGAGTTATTTCACTCCGATTTTTACTACTCCAAGTCTTATGCTGTTAGAATTATTCCCTGCCATACACGGGCTCCTTGATACTATCCCAATAGATAGATATAGAGAAAGATAGAGGTGGTTAGAACAGACACACAGGAACACACAAATTATTCCCCGATGCTTTAAGGCGAGAGGAGAGGAATTTAAGACCCTTGAAATAACTGTTACATTACAAAGGTGCAGCAAGCAATAAGGGACAGTATCATTAGTGCAATGCAGCTACTGCCATACATGCACTCACATATACACTCCATACACACACACACACGCACGCACACTACAGTTCTGTGATGGGCGCGTTAATTAAAAATAGAGAAAAAAGGGAAAAGTGAGAACAAAAGGGTGTTAAAGAAGCCAAAAATGATTTCTGCACTTCTCCAATTATTTAGCTTCAGTGTAGACAGTCTGCAGAGGAAAACTGGCTGAAAAGTTCCATTTATAATTATTTTTGTTCTAAAATTAAAAACTACTCCTAACAACTGTAGCTATTCATCGCTATCTATAAATATTCTTCGTTATAAGTGACACCTAATTTTTTGTATGGCTTCCCAATGTTTAAACCTGGGTGACTCTGACACAGAAGTGAGAAAAAGATGAAGAAGTGTTTAAGGATATGTTCAAAAGTCTTTTTTAAGAAATACAGTATGTTTCGCTCGTTTAGCACTTTCTTCCCATCAATTCTATTACCAGCATACGTGTGTATATACATGCGTATTATACAGACATCTGTAACATAGCTTATTGCTAGTGTGTCGGAAGACAAGGAATGGTCCTTAAAAACAAAGAAAATGACATAGTAAGTGCTTTAAAATTCTCTATTAAGTTTCTTGTGTTCCCACAAGGAGCAGCAGATAAAATCTGAGACGCACGTTGCTACAGCGCTGGCTTTTTTTTTTTTTTGTCTTTTTCTTCCTAAAGTTGAAGTTTTGGCACCCAAGCATCTCACTATCATTCTTTTCTTTTTAGTATTTATTTTTAAAAAGCAACAAAGTATCAAAATAACAAGCGTGCTCACACTCTAAAGCAAGAAGACACATGGGGTTTTTTTTCTCTCTCTTTTTTTAATATCCCACGGTAAGTTCTGATTTAAATACCAATCAATCAACTGTAATTTACACGGCGTCGCCTACTTTGGGCTTTATGTGCATGCGTTCTTTTTTTCAAGTCCCAAAACGATAGTGAGAGAACTTGGCTAGCTTTATTATCTACTTTGGGCAAAATCATTAACAAAAAGCAAAAGTAAAAGCAGCACCAATCCCCTCTCCAGAGTTCCACCTAGGTGAGCCAAATGTGAGAATCTCCTGTTAGAATCCAAACACACAAAGCCAACCTTTAACTAGTGTAGCAGCCCAGAAAAATACTCCTTCAAGCGAGGAAGGCCTAAAAGGTGACAGCAAAAAGTCCCCCAAACGACAAAAGAACTTAGGTGAATTGATCACGCAAAGGAAGTAGCAAGAAGTAAGCAAGAAAAAAAGGAAAGAAAAAAAAAAAAACTCGCCTGCAACTTTGCAGACACTGCCTGCAGTCACGGAACCTTTGCTGGCCCAGAGGAGCAGCAGTCAGCAGAGCCACGGGGACCTGGGATTGTGCTTGACAATCAAAGGGTGTGCTTAACTGCACGGCTGACTCCCACCTACAACACAACACCCAACCTGATGGGACAGGCGACTTCAGTCGGTCACTCGATCCTTCCAACACATATGTTGAAAAGGGAGGTAGGCTTTGTGTGTGTGTGTGTGTGTGTGTGTGTGTGTGTGTGGCCTTCACCCAGAGATGCCCTCTCAGTGCATAACTCTGGTGGGTGCCCATAAGACACAGGATAATGATCCTTTATCCCTGTCAATGTATTTGATAAACTATTTTTTCAGATGCATCAGTCACAACACACAAAACCTTGAGTCCAATATTTAAAAAAAAAAAAAAACTTCCGACATTAAACACATTGACAAAGAACTTACAAACCAAAATGCATCTAGACACGTAGGAAAGCTTCAGCGTTGTTTTGACCATTGCAATTGCTTCGCCTCACCAAGCTTTCGCCAACATGAACAAGGAGCAAACTCTCTAGCCCACACCTGAACCGGATCTCCATTCACACCCACCCACTTTGATCGACTGCCTGGCTCGGTTTTAATTAGGAGGCTAGAATGAAACACTTGGGCTACAATGTCCCCTGAAGTGTCCTGACAGGCTTCCTTTCAATAAAAACCTTACAAAGTGTCTTCAGAAAATAGATTCGCCTTAGTTCCAGTGATCACATATGCCTTTATATTTTGATTCCACACAGTATGAGCCACAGACCAGCGGCAGCTCATAATCTATTAGAAACAAATTCCAACAAACCAACTATTCAAAATAAATAAACATTAGAGGTCAAAGAAGAAAAGGAGAAGAAAGAAAAAGAGAGAAGGGGCTGGAGAAGGCATGTGCACACACTTAGGTGTGTTTTTCTAAGCTAATAGAAAAAGAACCTAAAAAGTGTGACACACTGAAAAAAGCTCTTTTGGTATCTGAGTGTACAATCCATAAATCTCTAACAAGGCTTCTCCCAACTAAAATTAGACAATGAACAGCTTCATCCTAACGTTAGACTGTGACAAGATGACCTGGAAAGGCTTAAAGGTCTGACCATCACTGCTCAGGTCGAAAATGTAATCAACAACACAACCAACCATCCACAGAGGAGCTGCTCACTCAGGCTACATACACTCCAAGACCCGAATAATTATACATTCAATCAACAGTCAAATCTTGCAACTGACTTTTTTTTTTAAAAGGAGAAAGCTCTCAGAAAGAGAGCCCCCTGCGTGCCCTCTCCCCCAGCCCCCTTTTTTATGGGCAACTATCAATGTATATCAACCGGGCATGCAATCATATTCATTGTCAGTTTCATTCATGTCATGCCCTTGCTTATATGGTTTAGATATGAATTATTGACTGTTACACTCCTTGTTGTAAAAACTAAATAAATAAACAGGATGGCAGGTCCTCTGCACTGCCTTGAAGCCAGCGAGTAAGTTAGAGCCCAGCAGAAGAAGCTCCCCTTTCTCTAACCTCCCCCTCCTCTTTCTGCCTTGGTTTCAGATTGCCTTCTCAACTCTTTCTCTTTTTACAAGGGAGAGATGTAGCCACTCTGGAAAATTAAGGATTAAAGTAAACAAACAAGAGGATGTTGCTAAATGTCCTTCCCAGAGCATCTGTTGTTGAAGAACACCTCTGATTGATGACTGCTATTTTTTAATTGTTGCTTTAAAATTTAAATGCCCTCCTGGGATGTGCTATAAGTGTGCAAGTCCATGATATGAGGTCTAGAAAGTAGAAAAACAACAGTGTGAGCGATCTCATGGCGGTATACACTCCTAAACCAACGACTCTCCTAGCAATAAAATCACAGGCCACTCCAATCCCGATAACCTAAGGCTGCAGAGCGCCTTCCACAAAGGTATTTGACAACAGTCTCTGCTGAGAACTTCCAGTCTGCTGCTTTGTGTAATTACACGGGAAAAAAAAAAAAAAAAAAAAAAGCAAAAGAAACTTCACACAATTTGCTCTCCCCAAGCCCAGCTCCAAAGACACCAGACTTTAAAATATGAGCCAAAATATATTCCTCCTGGAAGCGGACTTTTACTTTCATATCCCCCCCCCAAAAGGTAGACCATTCTATAAATTTCCTTTCAGAACCTATGTATTTTAGCCTCAATTTCAAAGAGGCTGGAAAAAGAGTTAAGGAAAAGAAACCAGTAATCCTTGATGCTAACTGTCAAGAGAAACTTGATGCTTTCTTATAAAGAAGACATGGCTAGGACTTGCACTAGAAGTGATCACACTTTTATTCTGAAATTGTACTATTTCAATAACAGGCTCGAGATTGCTGGTTAAGTGATTCAGTGGTCAAAGAAAACGCTAAAACATTGGAATCTCATTCCTACCTGTTTTCTCTTTGATTTCACACAACACATTAAACAAGGCGGGCTTCATTCTGTGGCAGTTTAAAGCATGTTTTCTGCAAGAAAAAAAAAACAACACCATGATAGCTGAGGCCGACTCTCAAGATCCAACTGCTGCTAATGCACAAGAGAAATCTGAACATTTAGCCCAAATGATGTACCTAGCAGAACTCTGTGGCACGCTTCAACTGTTTTTATGACTTCATATGCAGAGTCCCGTTGCAGAAGAAATAATGTTAATTAGCAGGGAGAGGGCCAGATTTAAATACAGAACAGAACTAACCTAAATTATGCCTATTTACAGACAGGGTTTTTTCTTTTCTTCTTTTTTCTTAAACAGTTTAATCAAAATGGGATTGCTAAACCAATAATCCTAGCCAGGACAATGCATAGAGCAAAGCCTCACGCACAGGTTAACAGTTGTGTCTAATCTATGCAACGGCCACAGCCTAAGAGCTGTCTGCCTCTCGGGCTGTGTGTTTTCAAATTTAATTCATCCATGTGTTCGAATTCATTCCACAGATGCCCCTGTATTCTCATAAACACAAGATGCTTGAAAGGTCTTCTGAGTAGAACTGTCAATTTATAAAATTTCAGTCCCCAAGTTAAAGAGTATGGAAATGCATTGCCAGGGGGCAAACATACCCATATGGGGAATAAATTCATTTCTCTGTGTTCACATTATGCCTCTTGTGCACACACCGCTTATTTGCAGGTGTCGAAATTCAATTATTTACAATTAGGATCTTGCACCCATTGGGGGGAAAAATACAATTTTGCCTTTTAGATTGGTGATTTACCTGGTGTGTGCGCGCACGTGTGTGTGTGTGTGTGTGTGTGTGTGTGTGTGTGTGTGCCGAATGCTCCTGAGCAAGAAAACAATACCTTCTCTTCCAGTTTATTATGGAATCACTTAACAGAATGCTACTGTTTTGGAAACAAAATACTGATCCTATCAGTTATTTGTTAAATAAATTCTATTTACTAAGTAAAATTAATATACGCAGATAAATGGGAAGCCCTGGCACTCAAGACACACGCAACTCTTGTCTTGAAATCCCTTTGAAAGTTAAATAGTAAAAAAAAAAAACACACAGACATCTCATGGAGAAAACAGATCCAAAGCGTGTTCTGTCTCTTGTCCAGTCTGGAGAGTTTAAAGGTAAAATTCACCAGTATCAAAATGAACACATACCTTGTATCTAAAACACCAACAGTTTACTTTGTAAATAATAAATGCACTCTATGGAGGTACAATGGAAAGATAAAAAGAACAGCCCTTTCTCCGTAGAATCACATTGTTTAAGCCAAAAGGCTGAATGATGGTTTAGTCTGAGGTAGCAATGAAAAAAGCTATCCTTTTAAATACTTCTCATCACTTGTATGCTTACACAAGGGCCAGAGACACACAAAGATTCCCACAGAGCTAGATCAAAATATTGCAGGGCCACAGTGCACTAATGGGAGAAGTGAAAATGCACCCAATCCCAAATTGTATCTGATCTCTCTCAAGATCTTAGCCAATGAAGCGGGGCACCCATTGAGTTCTGGTTACCCCTCAGTACCACAAGAAAGACGGGCACTCAACAGCAGAGAAGTAGGCATGCCCACTGGCCTCTTCTGCTTCATCAACTTATTAAACCAGTCGACTTGTATAGCCGAGGGATTTTTTTTTTTCCCCAGGAATACTGTACTGAAGAAATCTGCTCCAATTCAAAAGAGAATTGCCAGGGGGAAATCTTACATTTACCATACCTAATGGCTTTTCTTCAGATAACCAAATTGAAAAAGCGCACCAATAATTTAAAAAAAAAAAAATTACCCTCTCCTTTAAAAAGAAAAAAAACACTAGTTCTGAGTCTGAGTCTTCTTCGAGGCTTTCCAAGTCTTCAGGCAGCCTTGAACACCAATACTTTTGAGTTTACATGTTGCATATGATTGTAGCTAAAATAAGGGTGCAATTCAGAGCATGCACGCTCTGAGCTGCTTCCTCTCATTTTCTCAACATGGATTCCTATCTCCTTAGACCAAGTTACATATGAAGATGTCTCCTCCACTACTAAGTCACTGGAGGTACTGGAATTTTAGCTACACAAGTAAAAGATTTTTCAAAGCAAGAGGGGCAAAAAATAAATAAATAAAAACTTCTTTGACAATTTAGCCCAGTTGGGGTCATTTTAAAGACCTGTGTAGTGTTTTGCTTTAGTTAGTGAGGGTGGCCCTGTGCTTTATTTTAAAAGAGAACTGATTGTAAAAACCCTAAAAAACTGTGTGCATGACAGTGGAGTAAGTTAGGAAGCTACACAGCTTTTTTTTTTTTTTTTAATGTGTTCTTAATGAAGATCTACATGTCCTAGAGTATTAGAAGACTTGAAATCACACAGGCTTTCATTTCTGTGCAGTTGCACAGTAAGTGGTCCAGAAAGGAGCCTAGAGGAAAAAAAGCCTGCCCACATGAAGGGGCCAGTAACCCCCTTTTAAAGGACCGTCCATAGGTTCCTGGGTCCCGGAAGGGTCAGTACAACGACTCCAATTAGAGACAATAAAGTTAAACTGCAAAATCGGAGTTTCTCAAAACTAATACATAAGCCTGAAAGCCAAAAAAAAAAAAAAAAAAAAAAAGCCTTTACTTCTTTTTCCATTAGCTTCTTTCAAAAGAGAAAAAGAAAGAAAAGAAAAAAAAAATGAAGTGAATGCAAAGTATTTTCTGCAGAGCCGACAACTCCTGACAAAGAAATAGCCTGCTTTTGTTTTTGTTTTCTTTTGGGTTTGTTTTGGTTTGAAGGCAGTAGGAGAAGCATGGGAAAAGATTGAAAAAAATAATCATCATCATGTAGAGGCGTTAAGTCGAGAAAGAAAATTAAACTCGCCTCCCGAGTTAGGGAGAAGGAGTCAACTCCATTTGCAAAAAAAAAAAAAAGTGTTCTCGGGACCTTGTATTTTGTAACGTGTCGGCAGGGCGCCGGTTCGGAACTTGACAATCTTGCTCCGCCTGCTACTTTTGCCAGCAGCCCCCGGGAGCGGGGCCGGCCGCCTCGGCGTGCCCGGGCGGGTGCGGGTCCCCCCGGCCGCCGCTGCCCCTCGCACTCGCACGCGCGCACGCACCCTGCAAGCCCCAGCCCCGCACGGCCGCCACACTTTCGATAACAACGCGCCGGCCGCCGAGCCTGCTCCTCCGCCCCAGCGGTCGCTTGCTTGTCAAAACGGGGAAAAAGAACATTTAGCAAGAAAGCGCCGTGCTGATTCGGTTCCCATTGTTTGCCCCCACCTCACCCTCCCCCGCGAGAGGGAGAAAAACAACAACAACAACAATAAAAAAAAAAAAAAGAAAGAAAACCAAGAAAGGCAAAAGAAAAGCCTCCATCTCACCTGGCCTGCGCTTCATCCAAACTCTGGTCTGTGATGGTCATGATCTGTTGTAAAATGTCTCCAATGTCCTGCTTCCTCCCGCCCTCCCCCTCGGTCCCTCCGGCCCCGTCCTGCAAGTGCTGGGACAGGCCCGGGTGCCCGGCCATCCCGACCCCAGCGTGGGAATGCATCAGCCTGGGCTGCTCGTCCATTTCCAAAAGGCTGCGGCAGCCCCCGGCTCTTCCTCGGCTGCTCCTCGCTTCGGCTCGTGGGAAGCACCAGGGCTTTTTATCCTTCAAGCTGTCTTCAAATCCTTTTCAGGATAAACAGGGAAGGGGAGAAAAGAAGACCAAAAGAAAAAAAAAAAATCCCTTTGCCTCTTTGGAGGATGGTGGGGGGATGGGGAGCGGGGTGGTGGGTGGGTGGGTGGGGGGGACCGTGGAGGGGTTGCGGGGTGAGGGTTGGGGGGTGAGGGCTTGGTGGGAGAGGGTGTTCACTCCAAAAAGCAAGAAGAAAAAAATAATAATAATAAATAAACCACCTTCCCACTTGGCGAAAAGAAATCAGAGCTGGCTTTTGGTTTTTGCAGTCCGGTCTCCTTTGCAAGGCAGAAATGGGCTCCCGGCGCTTAAATCTGTGGCTTAATCCTTTTGCAAATATGCATTGATCGGGAGAAAGGAGAGGAAGGCAGGGGGATTGCAATGCAAACTTTCCCCCCCACCCCCCGCTGCCCCCCACCCCCACTCCGGGCCAGAGTGATCTCAAAGGGGGTGGGCTGTTGCAAAAGCCAGATCTCCCCCAGCCGCGGCGGCAGGCAACGCACAGGCTTCTCTCCTCCTCCTCCTCCGTGCTCTGCAAACTCCGGCAGCCCCGTCAGCCTCCTGCTTTTGTTTAGCTCAGGCTTAGGACTCCAGAAACATATACAGAAAAACCACAGCCTGAGAGGAGGAGGAGGAGGAGGAGGAGGAGGGCGACAAGGAGCAGAGGGGAGGGGGCCGAGCCAAGGGGAGGGGCGGAGCCAGCCCGCCGGGACACGCCCCTCGGCCCTGATTGGCCGGCCGCCGCAAGACGGGCACCTCCTCCCCCGACTGGGCCGCCTCCTCCGCGGCCTCCTTGGGCTCCTCCTCGCCCGGCGCCCTGTCAATCAGAGTTCAGAGGTGGGCCGGGAAGGAGGCCGAGCTCATTCCCGGGCTCGAGGCCTTAAAGGTGCCACGGTGCTGTGGCTCGGGCTCGCTGAGGCGCCTTCGGCTTTTCTCTCAGCGTCCTTGAGGAAAGCGCGGACGAGCAGGCGACGGTCGCTGCTCTCCTGAACTGTGAACGGAGGGGGGGGGGGGCCAACTTGACTCTCACCTCCCTGAGACCTTCAGGGCGGCTGTTAAGAGCAAAAGTTTGTCAGCACCAAGTAGTCATGAAATACACTCCAACTTCATGCAATCATCGCCAATACAGGGCAGATCTATCAATAGGTTACTTTTTCTTAAAAAAAAAAAAAATTATCACAGCAGAGTTAAAAACAAAGACAAACTGAATTATGCGCAATGAAACTACGTCAAGCTGAAGGGGGGAAAAAAAGGATTGAGAAGCAAGCCAAGTGAAAGTAATGCAACATTTCTGTCTCTCCTCCTGGGCAAAATTAGTTACTTGGCCTAAATACCTAATAAGGAAATGTATTATCAAAATATATTTCTAGTTTTTAATCTCGTAAACAATAACTGGGAGACACGAGCTGACATTTATTGAATGCCTACTACAACAAGTAATTTACATGCGTTATTTTATTTAATCCCTGAGACACCTCTGTCAGTTGTATGTAATCATCTAAGTTTTACAGAGAGGGAACTGCAAAAGGTTAAATAACTTTCCCAAGGCCCTTAGCTACCAAGTGTCAACGTGGGAACTGCAGCCCAAGTGTGGCTCCCTCTACAGGCCTGGGGTTTCAACTGTGCGCGCTCCCAGACTGACACAAATGCTTTAATAGTATAAAAATTAATTTTGCACACATTGGCCATCTAGAGACTTCAAGTGCTTTAAAGGGTTCGTATCTCCGGGTTGGCATTGTGGCAAGGCCAGTTAAGCTGCATCCCATATTAGATCCAGCTCCTTGCTAACACGGCCTGGGAGAGCAGCCAAAAGGCTGCCTGAGTGCTTGGACCCCTGCACCCATGTTGGAAACCCAGATGGAGTTCCAGGTTCCTGGCTCTGGTCTGGAACAGCCATGGCAGTTGATGTCACTTGGGAACTGACTCAGTGGCTGTCAGATGTTCCTGTCTCGCTCTCCTTCCCTTGACTGTAGCTCTTCCTTGCAAATGAAGAAATCATTTCTTAAAAATGAAAGATTTCCTATTTGAACAAAATGATTCAAAAGTGAACAGCAAAAAATAAAAATAAATCCATAAATTGTAGTTAGGAAAAACGCCATCAAGAAACTCCTGAATTCCAAAAGCTTTAGCTCCTAACATAAGTTCACCACTCATCATTTCATTGTTAAAGCAAGAGGAATAAACTGTACAAGAAGACAGCAGATGAACAATTAGGAAAAGCTGCGAATACTTTGCAATATGAACTATGTCATCGTCTAAGCAGCTCCCTTCCTGGAGCAACTTTGAGCCTCAATGTGACCAGTCTGCAAAGTGGAAGGCAGCATTGCCATCCACAAATAAAATGTTATTCTTTTCATTTATTACTAGCAAAACCGGTTTGGCAAGATAAGAGGCACTTATGAAAGCATTTCAAAGCAGCTTTTAACAAGCTATTTGCCAGTTATTGGCAGGAGGGCTTCCAGGAGGGAATATTACAATGTCAGACTGTCTAATAACAATTGTTTTATTCACACGTGTACGCTGATCTGTACACTGTTTATTTGGATTACCATTAATTAAAAGTCTAACACAAGATTATGCAAATCACATTGTCAATGGCAGATTGAAAATAACTCTACCCAGAGCATATAAGAAACTGGTTTTTGAGTCAGTGATTTTTTTTTAAGACCCATTTATTTTCATTTCAAGGCAGATTTTACACAGAGAAAAGAGAGGGAAAGGCTTCTATCTGATGGTTCACTCCACAAATGGCTGCAAGAATCAAAGCTTACCTGATCTGAATCTGGGAGTCAGGAGCCTCTTCTGGGTCTCCCATGTGGGTACAGGAGTCCTTGGTCATCATCCACAGCTTTCCCAGGCTTGCTGGGAGCTGGATGGGAAGTGGAGCAGCTGGGACATGAACCAATTCCCATATAGGGTATCAGTGCGTTTTGTTTTTTTTAAAAAATACATATTTATTTTTGTTGGAAAGGTGGGTTTACAGAGAGAAGAAGAGAGAGAAAGATCGTCTATCCGCTGGTTCACTCTGCAAGTAGCTGCTAACGGCCAGAGCTGAGCTGATTCGAAGCCAGTAACCAGGAGCTTCTTCTGAGTCTCCCATGCAGGTACAGGGTTCCCAGGCTTCGGGCCATTCTCAACTGCTTTTCCCAGGTCACAAGCAGGGAAAGAGAAGTGGAGCAGCCAGGACACGAACTGGAGTCCATATGGGATTCTGGTGCATGCAAGGCAAGGACTTCAGCCACTAGGCCACCACACGAGGCCCAAGATATCAGTGTTTGGAGGTGGAATTTAGCCAGATGAGCCATGGGTCTGCCCTGCCCCTCTTTTTTTCTTAAGATTTATTTATGTATGTATGTGTGTATGTGGGTATGCATGTATGGATAGATGCATGCATGCGTGTGTGTGTATGTGTGAGTGTGTGTGTGTATTTATGTATCATCAAGGAGCTGGTTCAGAAGTGAGGGAGACAAACAGACGATTATCAGCTTGCAGCTACAGGAGCAGGCATCTCAGCCGTTGTTTGACCCACAAGTCCACAAGACCCATGGCATAAGCAATTCATTCTCATTGCAAATCGAGTAAAAAAAAATCAGCAAAGTTTTGGGACCTATGCTACTAATACCAGAAGATAACTATAATTTCAGAATATTTGAATACATAACGAAAAATGGTGCACAACAGTAATACTGAAAATAGTGTTTATTGAGTACTTACTATGAGTAAGCATTTTTTAAAAGATTCTATTTGTGCTGGTTGTTTTTTTTAAGATTTAGTTTATTTTTATATTACAAAGTCAGATATGCGGAGAGGAAGATCTACCATCCAATGATTCGCTCCCCAAGTGACCACAACGGCCGGTTCTGTGCCGATCCAAAGCCAGGAACTTTTTTCCGGGTTTCCCCTTTTTTGCAGGGTCCCAAGGTTTGGGCCGTCCTTGACTGCTTTCCCAGGCCACAAGCAGGGAGCTGGATGGGAAGTGAAGCTGCTGGGATTAGAACCGGTGCCCATATGGGATCCCGGGCATGTTCAAGGCAAGGACCTTAACCATTACTCATCACGCCGTGCCCAATCCAACGTATTATTGATTCAATTCACATGCCATCTGAGCTCAATACCAATGTTTTTAAACACTATTCCATCTTTTTTGTGTGTTAATCAGCATTTCACCACTATAAGGAAACATCAATGACAAGCTTCTTCAGAAGCAAGAAGGTTTATTTTAACTTATATCCCTGTATTAGGCAGTCCAGTCGGCTGAGTATTTGGTAATGGGGTTCTTCTTGTGGTACAGAGAGTCACATGGCAAGGGAGAGTGTAGGTTATTTACGACTGTCCTTACAAAGCTACCATCATTTGATTCTGGGAACTCCATCCTAAAATCCTAATCCAAATTAATCACCACCTACGGGCCTCGTCTCTAAGCAACATAACCGGTATGATTAACTTTCTACCACCTCAACACTAACAAAATAAGACTTTGGGGACTAAGTCCTTAACACCTAAATCTTTGGGGACGCCCAAACTAATACCAAAACCATAGAACTTGCCTAACTGCATTTGAATATATTCATTATATTATAAATACTAGAAACGTGATTTTTATACCCTAAATGTTGTGCAAGAGATGGGCAAAGAGGTGAACTATTTAGAGTTAATAAAAGTACCCTTTGAGGTAGGTCTAAAGAGTAATTTCAATCTGGAGGGTAGGATAAAGTACAAATTACCTATTTTGGATACAATGGTGATGTTATTAGAAGGGCAGTATCAGGAAGACTTTGAACAAAAGCATTTCTGCTTTGTTCACTGGACACTGGATTTTACCTAAATTGTTTGCTTTAAACAGGGGATCTGAAAACTCGGTAAGGAAAATTCTCAACTTATTCAACACCTTGGACAATTAACTTGTTTCCCAAATCACTTAGGAAAGGAGGATGGGATTAGGAAATTGCAGTAAGACATGGAAAGGAGAGGACTACGAAAGAACATACACTAGACGGAGGTGACAAGATTTGATAATTGATTTTATTTAGGTAGGCAGGATGAAAGAGATTCTC